GCCTGGTCTACAAGAGCGAGTTTCAGGACAGCCTCCAAAGCCACAGAAGAAACCCTGTCTCGAAAAACCAAAAAAATAAAAAATAAAAATAAATAAAAAAATAAAAAAAAAGAGTCTTCAGCATAGTCGTCCTTGAAGGTGCTAGACCTTCAGCTTATGGATTTTTGGAGTCGGCTCCTCATTCTCTGTGGCAGCTGGTCCCGGTAGTCAACTTGCCTCATCAGGGAAGAGGGGCCTTCAACTGAGGAGCTGCCTCCATCCAAGTGACCTGTGGGCCGTGTCTGTGAGGCATTTATTCTAGTTACTAATCAATGTAGACGAGTCTAGCCCACCGTGGGCAGGTGGGCCTGGGCTGTGTGAAACAAGCATAATAGAATGGGAGTCGGAGAACAAGCTGGTAACGCTGCCTTCCTCCAGGCTCCCACCCTGCCTGGGTCCCTGCTGAATCCCCTCACTGACGGACCGCGCTGGGACTATCAGATGAGGGGACCCTTCCTTCCCTGAGCTGCTCCTGGTCATGTGTCTGTCACCGCAGCAGACAAACTAGGAGAGGGCTGAAGCCCAGTGTCTCCATGTGAAAGACCTGAAGTAATCAGGCTGAATACCCCGTGACGTCCCGAGCTCAATAACCAGACAGTTGGATGCAAACCGCAAGAGGTTTATTGTTCACACAGGCGTCTGTGGGCGATTCAGCAGCCTTAGCTAGCTGAGCGCGCCGAGCTTTAGGACAGTTTTCTTTTTATGTACATAACTTCGGCAAGCAAAGCAATGGGGGTATTGTAAAAAACAGGGCCGCTGGAGGTGCAGATCTGGGCAAGCAATAGGGGCATTGTAAGAAGCGCGGGCATAACTCATCCTTCCTGGAGAAACCACAAGGTCATAATTAAACTTATCTCTACAGCCTGCTGGTTTTCCGTGTCAGCACTCTGGGCCAGATGTTTTCAATCTGACCTTGTTCCCTGCCTAGGGGACCTTGGGGAATTTTCCACTTGAGGCGACCTTCTGAGTCTCAAAGAAAAGGGGGGGGTTGAGGTTTTTCACATGCATCACGCAGGACACCCTGGGCGTGAAAACACTGTGGGAACCAGTGAGATGGCTCAGCAGCTCTCTCAAATAAAGGTTTCTGCTGCTCTGAAGAGACACCATGACCGCGGCAACTCATGAGGAAAGCATTTCACTGGGCTGCCTTACAGGTTCAAGGCTCAGTCCCCGATCCTCATGGCGGGAAGCATGGCGTCCTGCGGGCAGGCACGGTGCTGGAGAGGGAGCTGAGAGTCCTGCATCTTGATCTGCAGGTCGTGGCAGGAGACTGGGACGGGATCTGCAGGCCGCGGCGGGAGACCGGGAAGGCTTGAGCTTGTGAGCCCCCCCCCCACAGTGACACACTTCTCCCACAAGGTGACACCTCCTAGAATGCCACTCCCTGTGGACCCAGTGTTCAAACGCACAGGCCCGTGGGGACCTGCCTACTCAAACCACACAGCAGCTGAAGTTGTTTGCGGCCAAGCCTAACCCGATTCCCAGGTTGATGGGGAGAATGAACTCCAAGTTGCCCTCTGACCTCCAGGTGTGCCCCCCCGTCACGTGCCGCCGCCACCCACAATACAATAAAAAAAAATGTGAATTTTAAAACTTAAGAAAGAGCCGGGCGTTGGTGGCGCATGCCTTTAATCCCAGCACTCGGGAGGCAGAGGCAGGCGGATCTCTGTGAGTTCGAGGCCAGCCTGGTCTACAAAGTGAGTTCCAGGACAGCCTCCAAAGCTACAGAGAAACCTTGTCTCGAAAAACCAAAAAAACAAAAAACAAAAAAACTTAAGAAAGGAATCCTGCAAGGTCACACAGCGGTTGTCACAGGTAGGATTCAAACCTAGGCGTGTGACTCCTGATCGGGCCTTAATCCGCTGGACCTACTCACGCTAAATTCATCTTGGGGTGGAGGGAAGCTGGGAACCCACTTCGGCTCAGTCCTGGTATGGACCGGCCCCGCCTGGAGGAGGGGCTGGCAAAGGGGGCCCTGGAGGTCCAGGCTGCAGAGGCGGCCCTGGGCAGCTAGGTGGCGCCTTTCACTTGCCCTGCGCCCTTCCCTAATGGTGGGGCTTGGCCTTCCTGGAAACCATCAACCAGCACGAGCTTCAGCCTTCCAGCTCCAATCCCAAACGACTGACAGCATCCAAGGAGGAGAAGCCTGTGCCTGTCTCCTTACAGTCAGTTAGAACAAGGGCTGGAGAGACGGCTCAGCAGCTGAGAGCACTTGGCTGCTCCTTCCTCGGGTCTTGAGTCCAATTCCCAGCAACCAGTAGGCGGCTCACAACCATCTCTAATGACGCCATCTGCTGGCATAAAGACAGAGCACTCATGTGTAAAATAAATAAATCTTTAAGAAAGGGGGGGGAAGAAGTCACTTAGAACAAACTTGGACCGAAGCGCTCCTGAGTGGAGGGGGCCACGGGCATCACAGGTGACCTCACCCTCTCTGAATACGTCACTTTTTGTAGTGCTAAAGACCAGACCATGGACATGGTTGCATTCCAGGTCAGCCTGGGCTACAAATGAGACCATGCTTCAAGAAGCCAGAGTCCCATCTCCAATACTGCAGAAAACAGGGCCCACAGCTTTGATCTCAGCACGGAGGAGATGGAGACAGGAAGGTCTGAAATTCAAGGTCCTCCGTAGCTACGCAGAGGGTTGGAGGCCAGCAAGAAAGTAAAACTAACAAAAACAAAAAGGCCCTAAGGACTTCCGTCAGAGCAGAGAGAGTGCTGTGTACCTGCCTGCACCGTTAGGTGTTTGCTGTCTACAGGGCCTCTCTCTGCACTTCTGATTTGGAATTGCCTCGTGTGTGAACTGCTGTTTTTTATCGTTATTTTGTGTGGTGTTGAGACAGGTTTCTACATAGCCCCAGAACTTGAGAGGCAGAGGCAGGTGGATCTCTGAGTTTGAGCCCAGCATGGTCTACAGAGCGAGTTCTGGGATAGCCAGGTCTACACAGAGAAACCCTGTCTCAAAAAAAACCAAAGCCAAAACCAAACCAAACAAGCAACAACAACAAAGAAAAAGACAAACTCTCAGTCCTCTTGGATCTGAGTGTTAGACTCACTGGACAATTTAGAAATAGCGTGTTTCTAATGAGGCACACGGAGAGAAACCTCCATTGCTCAGCGACAGGACCTGGAAAATTCCTCACAGGAGTTACCACGCTTGATGCTGTGAAAGTAAGTTTGCCTTCATGCCCCCTCTTTTTTTATTACCATTTTGCGGGGAAGTGGGGAGATAGGATTTCACTATGTAGCCATGGCCAACCTCTAGACCTCGTCAGCGTCAAACTCAGAGACCCACCGTCTCTGCCTCCTATGTACTGGGGATAAAGGCGTGCGCCACCATACCAGCATAATTACATCTGGTTGGTTGGTTGATTTGTTTGTTTGTTTTCAAAAGAATATTTTGCGTTTGGAGGTCACAGGACGACTTGTAGAAGTTGGCTCCCTCTTTCCACCAAGTGGGTCCCCGGGGATTGAACTCGGGTCTTGGTGGCAAGCTGAGCCGTCAGCTTCCTCACCTGAGGCATGACTACCAGCCTGCGCTTTTCTTAGTCACAGAAACCGGGCCACTTTTACGACACACACTACAGGGTGAGCACTCTCCACAGACCTCTCCAAGGGGCAATCCATTCAACGCTCACAGTCACACAATCGTCCAGGGAGGCAGTCTCTTCTTGTAGATGGCCCTGCTTCCTCTGGAACATCTTGTGGGAGGGAGGCTCTGCCCCTTCCATCCCTTCCAGGGACACCAGGATTGGGGGGGTGGGGGGATGGCAATGGAGGGAGGAGACAGAGAAGGTATTGACGCCATGGAGAGGTTCACAATGCCTGTCATCACCCCCGGCATCCGAAGGAACTTGGATTTCAGAAGGAAGACAGAGTACACTCTCACCCAGAGAACAGTCTGTCTTCCCACCTGGGACAGAAGCCTCTTCCTTCCGTGACGTCCCCTCCACACAGGCCAGTGTGCCAGCATCAAGGATGAGGCTTGCAGGGTGACTGGAGAGGAGGCAGGTGTGATGTCTGCCACCCCCTCTGCGACCACAGACATGATGACTCCAGGGTCAGAAATAACCCCAGAGTCATCTTCATGTGTCGGTCCTCCCAGCCGTTCCCAGAGAATCTGGCCCCTGAGTCACAGTGAAGAGTCCAGAAGTAGCCACGGACCCAGGTAACTGGGTGGGAGCACCACAGAACTAGCCTACAGGTTTGGCTTGGTTTGGTTTTTGTAAACAGGCCCATTCCTTCAGGAGTCCACTCAGGGTTACTTTCCTCAGAGCTTCGCAGGCCCAGGCTGCAGAGCTAGGGTGAGAAAAGACGGGAGAAGCCCGGCGGTGGTGGCACACACCTTTAATCCCAGCACTTGGGAGGCAGAGGCAGGTGGATCTCTGTGAGTTCGAGGCCAGCCTGGTCCACAGAGCTACACAGAGAAACACTGTCTCAAAAAAGCAGACAAAAAGAAAGAAGGAAGGAAGGAAGAAAAGAAATGACAGGAGACAGTCCACTGTCTTTCTGCACAGAGAGAATCAGAGGATGGAGAAGACCTGGGCCTTTTACTCAAAGATGTTTCCGGTAAAGATGGGTGATGAGGAGCCAGGCCCTGGGCACGTTGGCAACAACTGTCCAGCAGAGAGAGGAGCATAAAGGATGAGAGAACAGAGATACCCATATGTCAAGTGTCCCCCTTATTCATCCCCTCAAAATAGTCTGATGTCTCCATCCATGACTGAGTCACCCACCCTGATCCTTGGGGCAGACGTGGATGAATGGACTCCTCCTCCGCTCTACCCCTCCTCAGCCCTAAGGCCTGGTAACTGACTCCCCGGGATGGAAAGCCGACTTCCACAAGCCCTAAAAATAACCGGTCCACTTAATACTCCCAACATAGCCTCTCCCTGCCCCCACCCGCCCTCCCCCAGCCAGCCAGATAAAGGCAGCTGCCTCACTGGCAGAGAACAGAAACCCAGAGCCAAGGTGGAGAGAAGGCTTGGGACCCAGGAACAGAACAGAACCAACGCCGAACAACCCCAGGAGGAATACAGACTCCAAGGCTGCGCCCGCTAGACCCAGACTCCAGGCTAGACCCTCGGTGAGCACCTCCTCACCCCACCCCGCTCTCTCGGCTGTGGCCTTCTGGACCCTGCAGCTTGGGTATCAGGAGCGAACCTGGCGGGTGTGAGGGCAAGTGTACAGGGCAGGCCCCGAGAGAAAAAAATCCACCAGGATTTCTCTAGGAGGCAGCAAGCGTTTGTGTGTGTTCAGCAGCTGCTGTGGTTACCACAGGCTAGCCCAAAAAGCAGAGTCTCTCTGATCTAGTATAATCCACAGAGAGTTTCTGGTGGCCGCCTGGAGCTTTGATTTTTTTTTTAATTTACGTTTATTTTCTCTGTGTGTGTGTGTGTGTGTGTGTGTGTGTGTGAGTGTGAGTGGGGTCTGTGTGCCATGATGAAAGTGTAGCAATCGGGGCACATTGTTTCTCTGTTTTACCATATACATGGATCCCAGGAATGGAACTTGGGTCCTCGGAAACAGCAAGAGGTACCTTTGCTGGCCCTGGAGCTATGGGCCTGGGATGGAACTTAGGTGGTAAAGTGCTTTGGTCTAAGCCTTGGGAGACAGAGGCAGGGGAAGGGCCTGAAGTTCAAGTCCCCCTCCATCACTCCCTAAGTTTGAGACCACTGTGGACTAGATGAAAACCTGTCTCAAAAATAAATAGAAATGCAATATGGAGCTCCTCTTACTTCAGGGGTTCCTCCCCCAGGAAGCCTGAGGCCAGTCCAGGGATTGCGGGAAAGAGGGACGGACAAAAGCCAGGAAGGTAAGGGGCCAGGAATATCGAGGCCTAGGGCAAGCCCAGTTCCCGGTATTGTTGGTGACAACCTTAGCTTCTATGGCCCCAGCGACTTTGGTGCCCAGGCTAGCCTTTGAGCAACTTCCCTTGTGAGGCAGCCTGGGTGGGATGACTTTGTCCCCAGGCCATTGTCTTGCTCTGTGGGAAAACCCTCAGACTAAATCAAGGGCAGCTCGGAATGGAAGATCAGATCTGAGGCTGCCCACGGTAGACACCCAGGGCAGGCCAGTGCGGACAGAGGAGGGCCAGGGCTGTAGAGGGGGCGGGGCGGGGTGGGGGAGGAGTCCTAAGCAGTAGGTGGTCCTGAGTGGCTGTCTCAACATAGCAGACCTATACACAGACAGTTTTTGAAACTTACTATATCCTAAAACTGGCCCGAAACCTGTCTGTAGGAGTCTCACTCAGGCCAGGAGCCAGAAAACTCACCCCTGCCTTCTCCACCCCCTTGCTGAGCCTCCATGGACAAGGTTTCTGTCCCCTCTCTGGGACTCTGTTTTCCCTAATGACAGACATCTGAGGATCCTTACATCTGACCTCTTTGGTCTCCAACTCTCAAAAAGGCTTTTGGGGGTTCCTGGGAGCTGGGGTTAGGAGGGGGTGGTGATTTGTATAGGATATGCTCGGCCCTCCATCACGGTGACCAGCTAGGGCACGGGTTTGTGTGTGGTCTCCTCAGCAGAGCTCAGAGACCAAGAGGGACCACCCAGGGCTTTTGCCTGGGGCCCAGGCAGGAAATGTCAGACCACACCTCCCTCAGGACCCTGATAGCCTAGGCGGATAGGCCAGGGAGGGGGTGGGGCGGGCAGCCCTCCCTTCTCCTCCCTCTGAGGTAGGAGGACAGGATGATGGCCCTGTCTCTCACTTGACACCAGCGGTTCCTGCTTCACCTCACATCCTCCGGTCCCTTTGAGTGATGGGGACCCTCCAGGTTGGTCTGCAAGACAGACACCTCACAGGAAGCAGGAGGTGGAGTCCTAGGAGCCCACAGTATGGAAGACAGCATGGGACATGGGCACACCAGGCCTCCCTCTGAGTGCCATGGCTGAGGCCCGTACCTCAGCTATATTTAGGGCCGAGAGCAGGGCGGGGCAGCGGGTCAGGGCAGCCCACAGTTCACATTCCTTCCCTAATGGCCTCTGGGGACTGTCATAACACCTGTCACAAGACAGATAGGACATACATGAAGCAGGCCGGAAGATGGCTCCTGGAGGGATGTGAGGTCACCGCTGAGGAGTGAGGAGAGAGGGCGGGAGGCAGGCCTTGGTGGAAGCCGGGTGGGGGAGGGGTCAGGATCCAGATGCTGGCTGGAGGCCTGCCCTTGCCTGCCCACAGCTGGGGAGGGCTCTCTGTGAGCCAGGACAGGGCTCTCATGTCCAGAGATGCTTAGGCAGAAGGGATCTTAATCCATACACACAGTCTCACACACTCTGGGTATGTCACCTCCCAATTCTCTTAGGGGTGCCTGTTGAGGACTAGAGGGGCCTTATGGCCAATAAAAAAAGCCTCTTATTGCTTGGGAGTGACTCCAAGTTAGCACTGCCTAAGCTCGTTCTTCAGGATCTGACTCTGGGCTCTGTTTCTTTTTTTTTTTTTTTTTTTTTGGTTTTTTTCGAGACAGGGTTTCTCTGTGGCTTTGGAGGCTGTCCTGGAACTAGCTCTTGTAGACCAGGCTGGCCTCAAACTCACTGAGATCCACCTGCCTCTGCCTCCCGAGTGCTGGGATTAAAGGCATGCGCCACCAACACCCGGCCATTTTTGTTTTTGTTTTTTTTTTGGTTTTTTGAGACAGGGTTTCTCTGTGGCTTTGGAGGCTGTCTTGGAACTAGCTCTTGTAGACCAGGCTGGCCTCGAACTCACAGAGATCCACCTGCCTCTGCCTCCCAAGTGCTGGGATTAAAGGCGTGTGCCACCAACGCCCGGCTGGGCTCTGTTTCTTATCCTTAATGGCAAAGCATTGTGGGGAGAAAAAAAAACTTAAGATACCATTAGTCCTGGACTGGGAATGTGGCTCAGTTGCTAGAATGCTTGCCCAGCATGCAGGAGGCCCTGGGGTCAGTCCATGGCACCCGGAGTGGTGGCACATTCTGGTAATCGCATTACTTGGAAGGTGGCAGCAGGTTTGGGAATTCAAGGTCATTATCAGCTACGCAGCAGGCAGGCCTGGACTACTTGAGACCCTGTCTGTGAAAAGAGAAACCCTGACCTGGAATTCAAATGTTGGCTCTGCCTAAACACGAACAATTTCCCCTCCTTGGGCCTCTATTTCGCTAGCAAGAGCTGCTGACCCAGGGTCCTGGGAAAAGGTTAGAGTGAGTTAAGAGCCAGAGAGTGGAAGTTGGAAAGGGTTTTTTGGTCAACGTGCTAATTCCGCCCTCTGGTGTCCTGCGAGGGAATTTCACCACCAGAGGAAAAGATTCTTCATTTAACCTTCATTGAGGCTTCTCCTAAGACAGGACTCTTCAAAGCACCCCTGTGTGAGTCTCCCGGGCATAAATGACTTTAACAGAGGGAGATGTCGATGATTCATCCAGGCTCACCCTGGAGATCCCTCCAGAGGCTAGAAAGAGTCCCGAGTGGACTCTGGATCCCGAGTGCCATGCTGGATCCCAGCAACCTAGGTGACACTGGGAAATAGGGGCTCACAGGGATGGATGGATGGATGGATGGATGGATGGATGGATGGATGGATGGATGGATGGATGGATGGATGGATGGGTGGGTGGGTGGGTGGGTGGGTGGGTGGATGGACACACCAGCCAGGCAAGTGGCTAATGAGCCTCGGGTTAGCTATCTAGAGACGTGGGGGGAGCCCCTCGGTAGGTGTCACACAGTCCCTCGGCCGTCCCCCTGCCCTCCGTCCCAGGAACTGGCCCTCACTCGCCTCACCTCTTCCCTTTCTCAGAAGGATGGCTGATGCCCAGACGCAGGTAGCTCCTACACCAACTGTCCAAATGAGGACGGGAGAGGGCCTGTCCCTCCCCCCTCCGCCAGCCCTGGAGGGTCTGCCGCAGCCACCACCCAAGGAGTCCTTCTCCAAGCTCCAGCAGCAACGGCAAGCCAGCGAGCTGCGCCGTCTCTACAAGCACATCCACCCCGAGCTTCGGAAGAACCTCGAGGAAGCTGTGGCTGAGGACCTGGCCGAGGTGCTGGGCTCCGAGGAGCCCACGGAGGGCGATGTTCAGTGTATGCGCTGGATCTTTGAGAACTGGCGGCTGGATGCCATTGGCGACCACGAGAGGCCAGCAGCTGCCAAGGAACCTGTGTCGGGGGGCAACGTTCAGGCCACCTCTCGGAAGTTTGAGGAAGGCTCCTTTGCCAGCGGCCCGGATCAGGAGCCGGCTGGATCCCGTCCACCGGGAGGGGATGTTCAAACAGCCAGACAGCTGTTTGAGACCAAGCCGCTAGATGCACTGACAGTCCGGGAGGAAGCGACAGAGGCCGCCGCGAAGGAGCCCGCTGCCGGTGGAGACGTGCGGGGTACCAGAGAGCTCTTTGAGACGCGTCCTCTGGACCGGCTGGGCTCCCGCCCCTCTGTCCAGGAGCAGAGCCCCTTGGAGCTGCGCTCTGAGATCCAGGAGCTGAAGGGGGGTGTGAAGAAGACAGTGAAGCTGTTTCAGACGGAACCTCTATGCGCCATCCAGGACGCAGAGGGCGCCATCCACGAAGTCAAGGCTGCCTGTCGCGAGGAGATTCAAAGCAACGCCGTGAGGTCAGCCCGCTGGCTCTTTGAGACCCGACCTCTGGATGCCTTCAACCAGGATCCCAGCCAGGTGCGGGTGATTCGGGGGATCTCCCTTGAGGAGGGAGCCCTGCCCGACGTCAGTGCGACTCGTTGGATCTTTGAGACCCAGCCTCTGGATGCCATCCGTGAGATCCTGGTGGACGAGAAGGACTTCCAGCCGTCTCCAGATCTCATCCCACCTGGTCCAGATGTTCAGCAGCAGAGGCATCTGTTTGAGACCCGGGCCCTGGACACTCTGAAGGGGGAAGGAGAAGCTGGGGCAGAGGCTCCACCCAAGGAGGAGGTGATCCCCGGTGACGTTCGCTCTACACTCTGGCTGTTTGAGACGAAGACCCTGGATGCTCCCAGAGACCAGGTCCAAGTGGGCCATTTGCAGCGAGTGGGTCACCAGAAGGGTGAGGTGCTTACGACTGGCCGTCTGGCTGGCGATGGCCTCTCGGCGTTGCCTCTGTCTCAGGGTGTCCCCCAGCACGATGGGTTGAAGGGGGACGTGAAAACCTTCAAGAAACTTTTTGAGACCCTTCCCCTCGACAGCTTCGGGCAGGGTGAGCATCCAGTCTGTGGAAACATAAGCAGAGCGCAAACAGCTGAGTCTGCCAAGCAGCCCCAGGGCACAGATTCCCCCATCTATGCAATGCAGGACAGCAGGGGACAGCTCCATGCCCTGACTTCTGTCAGCAGAGAGCAGGTAGTGGGAGGTGACGTTCAAGGCTACAAGTGGATGTTTGAGACGCAGCCCCTGGACCAGCTGGGTCGAAGCCCCAGCACTGTCGATGTGGTCCGAGGCATCACTCGGCAGGAAGTGGTGGCTGGGGACGTTGGCACCACTCGGTGGCTCTTTGAGACACAGCCACTGGAGATGATCCACCAACAGGAGCAACAGAAAAGACTGGAGGAGGATGGGAAGGGTCCAGAAGCTCCTCCTTCGGAGCCCCCTCGAAAAGGCGATGTTCAGACCATCCGCTGGCTGTTTGAGACCTACCCCATGAGCGAGCTGGCGGAGAAGCCAGAATCAGAGGTCCTAGATCCAGCGATCAAGGCTGAGGCACAGTCATGCACCTGGATGTTTGGGCCCCAGTCTCTGAACCAGGTAGAAGGCTCTGGGGAGCAGCACCTGCAAGCCAGCCAGGTCCAGGCTAGAGACAGACAGACAGACAGACATGTCTTTGAGACTGAATCCCGGCAGGCATCGGACCAGCCCTGTGGCAAAAGGCCTGTAAGGTACTGCAGCCGGGTAGAGATACCTTCAGGGCAGGTATCTCGGCAGAAAGAGGTTTTCCAGGCACTGGAGGCAGGCAAGAAGGAGACGCAGGAGGCCAGAATGAGCCCTGGGTCCATCCCCACAGGCTCTGTGCACAAATTCACCTGGCTGTTTGAGAACTGCCCCATGGGTTCCCTGGCAGCTGAGAGCATCCAAGAGGACAACCTCCAGGAGGCACAGTCTAAAGGCCCTGCCCATCGCAGGACACCAGAGAGGCAGGAGACGGCAGCCGAGAGAACCCTTCGGACTTTGCACGCCACTCCAGGCATCCTGCACCACGGAGGCATCCTCATGGAAGCCCGAGGGCCAGGGGAGCTCTGCCTCGCCAAGTATGTGCTCCCAGGCCCAGGGCAGGGGCGCCCCTACGTGCGGAAGGAGGAGCTGGTGTGTGGCGAGCTCCCCAGGATCGTCCGCCAAGTGCTGCGCCGGGCGGATGTGGACCGGCGGGGGCTGCTGGTTCAGGAGGACGCTGCTGGCCGGCTCCGGCTGCACCCACTCAGGTTGCCAGGGCCAGGTGGCAGCGGGAATATTGAAGACATGGACCCTGAGCTGCAGCAGCTGCTGGCTTGTGGCCTTGGGGTCTCGGTGGCAAAGACAGGGCTGGTGATGCAAGAGACAGGGCAGGGCCTAGTGGTGCTGACTGCTTACTCCCTGCAGCCCCAGCTAACCAGCGGGGCCCCCGAAAGGAGCAGTGTGCAGCTGCTGGCCAGCTGCATAGACAAAGGAGACCTGACGGGCCTTCAGAGTTTGCGGTGGGAGCCACCAACAGACTCGAGTTCTGTACCGGGCAGCGAGGAGCCCCAGAGGTTTCCCCCAGCTGAGAGCATCATACATGTTGCCCCGTTGGACTCCACCGTGGAGATGGAGCACCTGAGAGTTTCGGGGACCACACCCTGCCCACCTCCACCTCGGGCAGTTGGAAAAGTGTTCCTTCCAAATGGGAGAGCTGTAAACCAGGCCCCATTGCAGGAAGCAAGAAAGCAAACAGATACCAGCCCTGCTGGGCAGACAGGGAAGGCAGCCTTAGGAGGGCCACAAGGAACCGCAGCTTCCCCTCTAGGCTCTGGGACCCCGGATCTCCAGGGAGCCGTGCAAAATCTGCGGATGGCAACTGCCGAGGCCCAAAGCCTGCGCCAGCAAGTTCTGAACAGACGTCCGCAGGGCTCTGACCCTACAGCCACCTCTGTGCCTGGCCAAGATGGTCTGCAAGCATCAATCCCTGCCACGGGGCTTACCCAAGGCAGCGTCAGGCCTGTGGTCAGAAGTGAGGCCCGGATCCCAGCAGCCCCCAGAAAGGTCAGTGGGGACAACAAAGCAGTCCCCAAAGGGGCGCCTAGGGGGCGGGTGACCATACAGGACGGTATCTATACTGCTCACCCTGTGCGGACTCCTGACCCACTTGGGGCTGTCCAGTTTTCTGAAAAAGAGCCCCAACCAAGGGACAGAGAGAGTACGCTCTCTGCCCACAATCCCAGCCCAAGCCAGACAGAACCAGGTGTGAGTCCCAGGCCAGGGTATCAGGAGCCTGGGGGTCATACGCAAAGGGCCTGGGGACCTCTGGGGAAATTGATGGCCCAAAGTTGGGCCAAGGGCCTCCAAGCAGCAGACTCCACCCTGAAGACTGTCCCTCTAACTCACCACACTGCGACCTCTAAACCCCAGACAGCAGGTGCCAGCCTGCACTCCCATAATGCCTCTGTTCCTCCCCCTCCTACTCTCCCAGCTGCTGTGACAGAACCTGACCACCCAGCTCAAGGCCACCGCTGCCATGAAGACTCCATCCAGCAGGCCTCGGAGCCCCACCTTCACACCCACAACAGACCTGCTGGCCAGGAAACCCCTGAGGGGTCAGAGACAGAAAGCTCCAAACAGGAATGTACCGCATCTCCAAGAAAGAAACCTCCAGTGCCTCCCAAACCTGCTCACCTGAGCCAACTCCACCCGCCTCACAGGCTGCCCAAGCCCATGGCAGTCTCTTCCAGCATCTCAGAAGCAGGACAAGAGCGCAAGCCAGGTGAGCCAGAAACAGCCAACCCTCAGTCAGCCAAAGCTCCCAAAGCAGCAGGCCCGGAATGCCTGCCTCCAGCCCAGCCCTCCAAGGGACAGTGCCCTCAGGTGAACATCCTCAGCAATGACTTCACCCCACCACAAAAGGGCCTTAGCTCCCCAAAAGAGCAGCCCATGAACTGTTCCAAGCTGGGGACACCTGAGAGCCCAGAGACTGTACAAGGCAGCCATCGAGAGCTCCAGAGCCTCCTCAGCCAGGTGCAAGCCCTGGAGCAGGAAGCAACCCACAGTGTGGATGTACAGGCCCTGCGGAAGCTCTTTGAGGGTGCACCCCAGCCGGGAGGGGGCACCCCTCAGGTTCCCACCACACCCCACAAGACTGAGGCCTCGGTGGAGCAGGCGTTTGAGGAACTGACTCGGGTGAATGCTGAGGTTGCCCAGCTGAAGGAACAGACCCTGGCCCGGCTGCTGGACATCGAAGAAGCGGTACACAAAGCTCTTAGTTCCATGTCGAGCCTCCAGTCTGAGGCTCACACGGGAGTTATCCACAGAGAACGCCAAAAGATCCCAGTGCACACCAAGCCAGTGCCTCCATCACCAGCAGAACCAGACCTACAGGCTCAAGCCAGGCCAAAGATCCAACTGTAGTCAAAAATCAAGGCAAGGCTGAGAGCCGTCCAGAGGAACAAGGCCAAGCTAAGATCAGAAATCACACAGAGGCCAAAGGTCAGGCAGCCCTGTCGCCTGTTCTTCCCTCCAGGACACCGGAGTCCAGCCTCCAACAAACGTCACCTTCCCGCAGGGGCTCCTCCCCCCCCCCATCATCTCTATCCAATCAGCTAGAGAAGCTTTTGGGAGCTCCTGGCCTTCAGGGAAGCCATTATATCTCAGGGAAAAGCACACACCTAGCTCAGGACATAAGCCAAGCCCTGCTCTACCAGAGAGATAGCCAAGACCAGGCTGGGATGGTTTCCAAGGACTCTGCGCCCAAAGGGCAGCAGAAGAGCGTTCTGGAATTGCAGTGTGGGCCAGCTAGCTCCAAGTCCTACGGAGCCACAAGAACGGTGATTAAACAACATAAGGAGATACACAGTCCTCCCTCCTCCACCATCACCCAGCAGGCAGAGAGAGCCGCGGATGGACCCCGGACCACAGCTCGCGGCGCCACACGGCACCCTTGCTAACGCAGCTCCTACGCAGCCCCTCACAGTTCAAACAGAGACATGGCAGAAGCCCAGATGGCGTGGGTTCCCTGCAGCCACATCCAGCCGGCTGCCCAGTGAGCCCCTCTGTCTCTCCCGCCCATCTTAGGTACCCCTCACCCCAGCTCTAGGACTGAGTCAGGGGCCGACAAGGACCAAGAAGAATGGCGCTCTTCAGAGAGATGATGGGGGCTGCTTGCCTCCTCGGGACCGGTTCTTGAAAAAGCAAGAAAAGTGAAGCGGCCAGCTGCAGAGTAACACTGGATGCGCGGGAGGCGGCCTGCAGCTGCCTGTGGCGGATGGATGGCGCACGCACGCTCCACCACAGCAGGCCAGCTTACACACACGTTAGTCTGCCCCTCATCGCCGGAGTTTGAGAGACACCCCTCCACGCGTCCCTCCGCCGTTAGCCTTTATTTCTTTTGTTATGGAATCTGGCTGTCTTTTTTTTTTTTTTTTTTTTTTGTATCGTTTTGGAGGCTGTCCTGGAACTCGCTCTGTAGACCAGGCTGGCCTCGAACTCACAGAGATCCACCTGCCTCTGCCTCCCGAGTGCTGGGATTAAAGGCATGCGCCACCAAAGCCCAGCTTGGAATCTGGCTGTCTTAGTCCCCGGTGAGGACCAGGGCTGACAGAACTGGACATGGCATTGTTAGAGATTGGACAGAAGGCTCCAGAAAAACCTGGGTGCCTGCCTCTTCATCACCGGTGGTCCAAAGTTCACACAGAAAGAGCCACCAATCAAGTGTTCCTAGAAGCTAAATACACTGCCCTTCCTGCTCCCTTCACCCCCACTCTGCACCCCAAATGAGAAAATACGACCCCGAAATAAAGGTGATTCTCCACTCTGTGTATCAGCCTGTGTATGTTCCTGCCCCGGAGCCAAGGTTCGCAAAGGGAAAACAGCCATGGTCATCAGGTGACTGCTCTAACATTAGCAGCTCTGACTCTGAGCGGGCATTCCTCCACAGTGTAGGTCAGGAAACAGAAAGGCCCCGCCCACTCCCTGTTCTGTGAGCTCTGCATGCCCACACACACACACACAGACTCCAGGCAGCACGGGGCTCCAAGGGAAATGCATGGCCACCAGCACTCCATAGTCAGACTCATACACACACTGCACATACACACATATGCACACACAGGCACACACACACACACACACAGAGGCTACCAACATGTACCACTCACTCACACATACACACAGGCACACACACACACAGAGGCTACCAACATGTACCACTCACTCACACACACACACACACTCACACACACACACACATACTCTCTCTCTCTCACACACACACACACACACCACAGACCCACAACGTGCTGCTCCCCCCTTTATCTCTGCCTCCTGCCTGATGGAGGTTCTTGGATGTCATTCTAGGAAAAAATCTTAAAATCCTGGCCCAGAATGGGAAAGAGACCCCATACAACCAGGGAAGGGGAGGGAGGAACATCCCGCTAGAACTCCCATGCCCAGAATGACTCAGCCATTTCTCATCACCTGTACTCTTGGCACAGGCACTGTGTGTCAGGCGGGGAGGTGTCCTTGGGAAGGGAGCGAGCAGACCCTGACTGGGAAATGCAGTGGCTTGGTGAAAAACCTCTTTCTTTCCTCTTTGAACAATCACTGCGCACCCTAAGTCAGGTCCATCGCAGGGTGGACACAGGACAGCGAGACGCAGTGGGGCACTGTTCTCAGGAACCTGGCTTTGCACGGGGAGAGGGAGAGACCACAGATGACATCAGGAAGAGGGTGACGTGCCCAACTGGGCTGTCTTCCCACTCGGGAGACATGAGTCATAAGTCGTGGCAGCGTGACCGTGACAGGGAGACGGCACGTGTGGGCCTCCATAAGGAGGATGCATCTGCTGTCTGGATATCAAGGGGACAGGACCCAGAGACTGGTGGTCGCGTCATCTCAGCCCTGGGGCGGGGGGCAGGAGGAGCACAAGTTCAAGGTAATCGGTGGCAACTAGTAAGCTTGGGGCTGGCCTGGGCTACATCAGGCTGGTCAAAACAAAGGGCGTGGGAGCCAGAAATGATGGTGCATCCCTTTGATTCCAGCACCAAGGAGACGGGGAGTGCGGAGGGGGAGGTGGGGGGAGGGGTAAGCAAGCAGACATCTGTGAGTAGGCTAGCCTGGTCTACCAGCCAATGCTAAGTTAGCCAGTGCTGCATAATGAAGGAGGAGGAGGAGGAGCAGGAGGGGAGGAGGGGGAGGAGGGGGAGGAGCAGGAGGGGAAGAGGGGGAGGAGGAGAAGGAGGGGAGGAGGGGGAGGAGGAGGAGAAAAGGTCTGGATGTGAGGACATAACTCACCAGTGCCTTCTCCACCTAACATGTACAAGGGTCCAGTAAATCAACCCTCAATACCACACAAAATAAAATGTGTGTACCAGCCGGGCGGTGGTGGCACACGCCTTTAATCCCAGCACTCGGGAGGCAGAGGCAGGCGGATCTCTGTGAGTTCGAGGCTGGGCTGGACCGATAGCCTCCAAAACAATACAGAGAAACCCTGTCTCGAAAAACCAAAAAAAAAAAAAATGTGTGTACCAGGAATTCCCGTGTCTCTGGGACCCCACCTTGGCTGTCCTCTCTACCTTCCCCAGGCTCTCCCTTGGCTTAACCTGTGAGTGTCTTCCGTGTCCTCATCTATAAGATGGGCATGATTGTGGTACAACGTGAAGACCGAATTAATAGGTGTTTAGTACGTGAAGCTGAAACCTCTGCCTGGCATTCCTTCTCAGCACTGAAATGTAGGGGGAAGTTTTGTTCTGTTCTGTTCTGTTTTAAACATTGAGACAAAGGCTAGGCGGTGATGGCGCACGCCTTTAGTCCCAGTACTTGGGAGGTAGAGCCATCAGCTTGCTCTACAGAGTGAGTTCCAGCACAGCCAAGGCTACACAGAGAAGCTCTGTCTCAGAAAAAAAAAGTCAAGGTGTCTCTCTAGCCCTGGCGGGCTTGAGACTCTATATGCAGACCAGACTAGCCTCAAATGTGTAGTAATTCTCCTGCATTCCCGTCAGGGCTGAGGATGACAAGAGTGTACCACCTGGCCCAGAAGCCTTGTTTTTGTTTTGTTTTGTTTTGCCCTGTGGCTGAAGATGACCTTGACCCCCTGGTGTAGCTTGCTCCTACCTCTCACTAAAGTCTTGGAATTGTAGACACGTGTCGTCACGACAACCTTCTGGAATATTTTTTTTTAGTTATATCCCTTCTCACCTGCAGGGGGCGTGTGCCCAAGTGTTGTTGGTCTTGGTTACAAGTCAAAAGAGCACACAAATGAACGAAACGATTGAGTCAATCTGTGGATTCACGCTACTGGCATTCAATAGCGCTTCGTGCCAGGATCTGTTCAGGGTGCTAAAAATAGCGATGAACAAGGCAGAATTTACCCTTGACCTCACAGGGCTGACAGAGAACACAAATATCTAAGCACATTAGGTCATTTTACACGGGAGAAAAACTGCGTGGAAAACAAGGTCAGTCGGCAAGGGCAGGCTGAGTTTGGGTGGTCGGGGAGGTGTCGCTGCAGTGCAACCCCAACAGAGGCACCGGGCTAGCATAGCCATAGAGCCGGGAGAGGGGGGCGGGGGTTGCATGAGACCCCGCCCCGGGTGCAGGAGGCCCCGCCCCTGCCCGCTCACACCTGCAACCGCACCTGCCTCCGCACCTGCCCAGACTCCGCCCGTCTCCCTACGCGCCGAGCCCAGACCCCGCCCCCGGAGCCGACAGGGCGTGCTCCCACAGCCGTCACCAAGGTGACGGTGACGTCGCGGGCTTCTGGGTTCGGAACGTTCAGGCGGTGGCCGGTTGCCAGGAAACGCCCGGCTGGCGAGCTGCCAGGGCTGGCTCCGCGAGCAGACGCCGGGCGCCAGGACGCGCCGTCCCGGCCAGCTCTTGCGCGGAGCCTCCCTCCCGGATTCCAAACGGATGCCGGTTCCGGGGCTTACCCGGGAGGGCGCCTGGTCCCTCCTAGATGCTCTCTGTCCTTGCCTGTGTCTGGAATTCGTCCTCTGCCTCCGGCTACCATCCATCTCTGCCTCCCCAGTTTGAAACTCTATGGAAGTAAAATGTTAAGAGCCTGGGCAGGCGAGATAGCTCTGCTGATAAGGGCGCCTATGGCGCAAGCTTGGCAGCCTGAGTCCCATCCCAGAATCCAGGTGAAGGTGGAAAGAGCGAATCTACACAGTATCCTCGGACCCAAGCACAGAAGTGGCATCCTCACCCATCCACACACATCATGCATGCACAATAGTAAAAGGTTGATTTGTGTGTGTGTGTGTGTGTGTGTGTGTGCACGTGCATAACTGTAGGTTTCTACCGATGCCCCCAGAGCTAAAGCTTGCCTTATGTTTGCGCTAAGAATTGAACTCCCGTCCTCTGGAAAAGCAGTACGAGCTCTCTCAACCTCTGAGTCATCTCTCCAGCAATAATAAGAATACATTTTTGCCGGGCGGTGGTGGCGCACGCCTTTAATCCCAGCACTCGGGAGGCAGAGGCAGGCGGATCTCTGTGAGCTCAAGACCAGCCTGGTCTACGAGAGCGAGTTCCAGGACAGCCTCCAAAGCTACAGAGAAACCCTGTTTCGAAGAAAAAAAAATACATTTTTAAAATTCGTTTTAAATGTTAGACGCAAGTGTGTGGCTCCCACCTGCAGTCCCACCGACATCTTGGAGGCTGAGGAAGGAAAATAAATTAAAAATCTGTGCTACAGTGTTCAAGGCCAGCCTGGGCAACCTAATGAGACCCTACCTCAGATAAGCAGTTAGAGCTAGGCTTGGTGGCTCACAACAGTAACCCCAGGCCTGGGGAAGCTGAGGTAAAAGATTCTGGCATCTGGAGAGCAGCCTGGGCTACATAGAGGGACCTTGTCTCAAAAAGCCAAACATAACCTGTAGTGGTGGAGCACGCCTTTAATCTCAGCACTTGGGAGGCAGAGGCAGGCAGAGCTCTGTGAGTTCGAGGCCAGGCTGGTCTAGAGGACAGCCAGAGCTACACGGAGAAACGACTGTCTGAAAAAAAAAAGCCAAACATAAATAAATGTGTTTTTTTTTGTTGTGTTTTTGCTTTTGTTTTAGTTTAAAAGGGGGAGGGTCCGGTGGCTCACTCCTATTAATCCTAGGACTCAGGAGGCAGGGGCAGGCAGAGCTCTGTGAGTTGGAGATCAGCCTGGCCTACGGAGTGAATTCCAAGCTGGCCAAGATAACATGAGACCTTGTTTCAAAAGAAAAAAAGAAAAGAAAAGAAAGAAAGAAAGAAAGAAAGAAAGAAAGAAAGAAAGAAAGAAAGAAAGAAAGAAAGAAAGAAAGAAAGAGAGGAGGGAAAATCTGTATCTAGATATATATGACTTAGTGGTAAAGTATTTGCTTAGCATGTGTAAGGCTCTGGGTTACACACACACACACACACACACACACACACACACACACACACACACACACAGCTGCCCTGCTCTGACTTCCCAGGTTGCTAGGTCTGGAATCTAAACTCTGGGCAGCCTGTAAGACCAGAATGGCTTGCCTCCCCACATTCCTCTCCCCCAGGCCCCCGTCTCCTCCCCTAGTCACACTGGTTTTCTTCATAAAACACCAAGTTGATTCCTGCCCCAGGACCTTTGTACTTCCATCTGTCCTGTGGTCTTCAGTGGCTCAACTCCTCCTCGCTCCGACTTCAACCCAGCTTCTCTCTCGCACGTCAGTGACGTTTCAGAACGTCAGGGCATAACACAACCTTCCATCAACACCTTGGAGTACACATTGCCTTTGGGTTGGTAGCCATGGCAACTGGCTGAGCAAAACAATACAGTAATAGGGTAGATGTTCCTTAGCGGAGCAG